TTTCATGATCCTAGCAGATAAAACTTAACAAATAAATTTGTATTCGCATAAGAAACAGCTTCATTCAAACACCTACCGTTTATTTGTTGTACGTATTTAAGTTAGTTGATGGATAGTAGTCGCACAGAGTAATACATGGGCGATAACTGTGTCTGTGTCAGGTCATTGGATTAGCCTGAGGTATGGCGCCAGGTCACTTGTGATGATAAGACACCAATGAGACACCAATGGTTTCCAATGAGAATCGTTACATGATTGACATCAAACTCCCAACTCTTCATTCATACTGTCGTCAAAGAAAAAAATTGCAGGAACGCTTCTTATCCTAAAAAATACTTCGTAGGTTGTAATTCTTGTCGTCCTTATTAAGTAAAATTGGTGCCCTTTGGAACTAAAAACATCTGATGATGTCTTCCTACGACATGTGCAGACCTTCAGTGATTTTCTGCTGCGGCTATTTTGCTCATCTCTTTCGTAATACTCCGACATTACAACATTTTGGTGTTTTTACCTGTTTTTTTTCTCGTTCAGTTAGTAAGTCAGTTTTTTCTAAACTGATAACGGGTTGCTGGCGTGAGTCGTTGTCTGTTATTATAAAGCGAAGTTGAAGTCAACAAGCCATCGAACTAAGTGCTAACAGATCCAGGCGATTAACCCCGTGGGCATCTGTTCAGAAAGACAGCAATCCATGACTGACAACCGAACCACTTCAAAAGCATTCAGCCACGTGTTTGGAAAAAATCACTCTCCTACCCACCATAACAATGTTATGGTTTACATTTTTTAGACCTATCTCAGACATTCTACCTTTTCAGATCCTTTCGTCCTAGAGTACACTTTTAACTTGAAAGCATAGTCTTTTGAAGACGGGCAAAGGAGCTACGAACGACTATTCACACCACATGTATACATAGGTCACACAAGAATTTCAGAAAGCATAAGTGGTAGTGGGTTCATTGATCAATCGCTGAGGGAGCGCTGTGCATTCCAGTCCATTCATGGCATCGTAGAAGTGATTAAATGCATATCAACCGTGTACAGTTACTTCCGGCGGTCTATCGACGTATCAGGTCAGTGTTTATATCTTTTCAAATAAGTCTACTAACAGTTTGTCGACCCCAAAGGAATGGAAAAACTTGATTAACCCTAAGAACAGGATCAAACCAACGACCACGTGTATATTGCAAGGCATTTCAAACCACTGTAGTACTTGACCCTCAAAAAGTTTTTCATTGAAGATAAAACTATTATAAGTATAACTGCAGAGCCTGTATCACCTGTGTCACTTGTAGTCCCGTTGATCGTCGAGTGACTCGAGCAGGCGCCAGTAAATCTTCCACTTTTCCTTGTCGCGTGCAAGAGTAGCCCATTAGGTTCTGTTCGCTCTAGGAATTCGCCGAGCATCATATCTTTCTTCTAGGCTTTTCGTGAAGAACTCCGACCATCGTGTCGGTGGTCTTCTTCGACTGTTTGGTGTACAAACGGCATCCTTGATTTTTCATCGTTGACGCAGATCGGAGCTTCGGATCGCTTTCCTTACTTGTGCGAAACGGGATACTCCTAGCATCGTCCTTTCCACTGCGGGTTCAATAACGCTGAGTGATTTTTCATCCTGTTTGCGCAGCGACCAGGTTTCTGACGCATACGTTAACGCAGGAAGTACCGTTGAGTCGAAAAGGTGGGCACGGAGTCGGAAGTTCTTTGTCCTTCCTGGTGTGTAATAGGAAGATAAGACGATGAGAACGTAGGCATAAACACACACAAACACAAGCCCTCCTGCGAACTAAAGCAGTGATTTACAGCAGCTGTCATCCTCGTTTCTCTGTCTCTTTCGTGTTTTTAACGCCTTTTTATGCCGTACTCAAAAAAAGCAAGAAAAAGCTTTTTATAGTTTTGGGTTTAGTGGTTTTAATAATATACTTGTTTTGTCATATGTTGAAGTTTGATGACCATTCAAACTGTTTCATCTTGAGTTTGGTAAACATGTTGCAAACCATTCCACTGGAGTTGGTGACCACAAAGGACGTTTGGCAGAGTTTGGTGCTTTTGATATGTGTTCAATCGAATTCGGTATCTATGAAAACCATTCAGTTTAGTTTGGTATATATCTATCAATAATATTTAATCGGGTTATATGACTATACAGACTATCTAATCGGATTTTGTTACACCGGTAAGCTTCGTGTCGGATTTGTTCCGCATGCATAGCATTCTATTCGCATTTAAGCCCATGTAAACAATTTTGCTAAGTTTTCAGCCCATGCGGATTATTTTGACGGATTTTGAATCCATGGTAATCAGCTTGACTGGTCGTGAGCCTATGCCAACGACTCCTTCAGATTTTGAATTTACGAAAACTATTTTGTAGGATTTTGAATCTAGAGAAACCATTTTGTAAGGTTTTGAGCCCATGCGACTCATCCTGATGAGTTCTACGCTCATGCATACGCTCATACCTTATCCTGGTGGATTTTGAGCACCTGCAATCCATCCTAATGAGTTTTGACGTCACACAAGCTATTTCAATCCTTTTTCCTTTTTTAACCCTTGCAAATCATCGCGAGGGGTTCTGAGTCTATTTAAGATGTCCTTTCGAGTTTTGAGCCCCAAGTTTTGTGATGAATTTAGTCTTAGGGATCTAATAAATGTTGACATAAAGAGTAATTTTTTTCCTGTACTACTTCATCGTGTATTTCATTACACTGCATACAACCTTACCGCTACGACAATTTCTGCTGTCATATTGTATAACACATTGAATTAAGATGGCTCACTGAAGAAGACCTGACTCGACACGAAGGCGAAGCTGCCACGTCGAGACGAATAACAAGCGAGAACCATCGACTCGGATCATCGGCTCTGAGGAAGACGAAGACGTCGAAACGTTAGCCGAAAATAAACATCATTATCAACCTCGTATAAGCTCATCAAAGAACGAATACATATTGATTAGTGATACCGAGGTTCAAGGAAAGTCAGTTTCGAAATATTACTACGCTTTGTGCTAGCTGATAAGAACACCGACTTCTGCACGATGTGCGCGATGATTATGTCCGGAAGAAAAACGAGTTCTCACCGGACATTATCATTATATCCACCAACAGCATCGTGTATAAAAGGGCATCACTGAGTAAGGATGCCTCATTCGAGGAGATGGCTCACCGAGGAAGATATGACTCCACACGAAGGCGAAGCTGCCACGTCGAGACGAATAACAAGCGTGGACAATCGACTCGGATCATCAGCTCTGAGGAAGACGAAGACGTCGAAACGTTAGCCGAAAATAAACATCATTATCAACCTCGTGTAAGCTCATCAAAGAACGAATACATTGAATTAAATTACATTAACTGAAGCCTTCTGCTTACTTATTTCATTGAAAAGGAACAAATGCTTCATCGATTTTATCGATCTGCCCTTAATGTGATCGATTTGTTTTCATTTGCTGTTTTTTGATTTCTCTATTTTTGCGTTTATTGATCATTTTTCATGAGGACACTAATCCTATGTTTCCCAGATCAGACACATGCTTTTACACTGTTATCTCTGTTTTCCCAGAAGTTCTTTTTATTTAGCATTTGGCGATTTTTTAAGTGAAATTTCTTGCTTCAGGAAGGGATCAAGGGATTGAAGTTGAAATGTACTCAACTTTTTTCACAATACAAAACTGAATCGCACATCCACTTTCAAAATAAGCATTTTATTCACTTATTCGACTTTCGATATCGAATCTTTTTGATTTGATGTAGTTTTGACGAAGCAGTTTGTTAATACCGGGTTTTGAGGCCTATAGTTTAAATTTAGCAGCAGCACGTTTATGGTGTTTTGTTCTATTTCTTTATGAAAATTTGAAGGAAAAGAGGCAAAATAAACAAGAAAATATCTGATAACGTTTTCTTTTAGGTTTCTGGGATGCGTAGCGCAGTGGTTAAAGACACCCTGGGATGCATACTTGGTCCTTGGTTCGATCCTGTGCCCGAAGAAAGTCAACCATTTATCCCTCTGGTCTCCCCAAATAGTTGGTAGAGTTATGTGGAAAGACCGAATAAGTGACTTAATACATCAATGGGTCACGGCAGGTGATTATATAACCTAAACATGCATTCCATTACGTCCACGTTGCCACGAATTGAGAATAATGCATACGCATCCACATACGACAAGGATTGGTCGGTACCGTACATTACCACTTTTCCTTTGATAGAGTTTTTGGAGGTATATTGAAATTAGTGGAATTGAAAACAAAAAACATAACTTGATTTTTTTCGTAGCATTAGAAACCAGAATCTGATTTGATTAGCATCTGAAGCTTTCTGAAGAACGCAATGGCCTTCTAAGGACGTCTGTCACTCATTCTAATGGACTACTGTATTCTACTGTGACGACGTGTTTGCGTGCTCTTTACGAAGAAATGTGGTGGGAACAAGCATAAAGAAAAAGCTGAAGTTCAAAAAACAGGTTCACCCATAGTGTTCACTCATCGTGTCCTCAGAAAACAGTTAATGCGACGCGTATAGCACAGTGGTTAGTGGAGTCCTGCAATGCACAAGTTTTCAGCTCTTTGATTCCGCGTTCTGGCCTAACCACTTCCGCCATTCTTTGAGTGTTGACAAATTGGTGCCGGACTCATCTGAGAGAACATAAAATACCACTGGTTTCCGTCCACTATTCTCCAAAATACCGGTCCTCTTGGTTTGGTATGCCAAGTCATTGTGTGGGCAAAATATGCACTGAATCAAGTCTACGACTTTAGGAATGGAGTCTAATGCATGGTTGTGTATCGCAGTATAATAGGCCGACACTGAAAACCTCTTTATCATTTTTATTCGGAATGGTAGAAATGTAGATGATCAGATAACGTGGTCGAAAAATAATTGCAAGATTATTCAAGCGACGGCAACCCAGAGAGTGAGCCGACATAATTTGTTGTTGGCCAAAAACCAACAAGAATCTTTACTTGGCACTTGTGTTGTTTACACAATAGTATTAACCCCCGCCGAATGGGCGGGTCGTTAACGCCAAAACACAAAGAACAGAAGGAGTACTAGGAGCGGATGAGCGACAGACAAACTGACGGCGCAGGCAGAAGAAGCATATCACGTTCTTCCTTACCACTAGCCTTAGATTCTAACCTTACTTTAATGAAATCCACTGGATGATTCTTCCTTTTGGTCGTCGATATATGCTTTTTTAAAAACCTTCTTCAATACGATTGTCTCTCGCTGATTTTTCTTTTGTCTCTCGATATTTCATCGAAGCGATGACGATGCTAGAAGCATCATATTTCTTCTCATTTCCTTCATTCTCATCTTATTCGAGTAAAGTTCAGTTATTAATCACTGAATCGTCTTCAATATGTGTTTTTCTGAACTTCGTTCAGTATGAGAAGCCTTTTCTATCATCTAAAACGTTTTTGACATTTTATTGCCTTCGGATTGTCTTCGGTAGGGTTGAATTCATCATTCTGTCAGTTGATTTCACTATTTTCGTGTTCTTTTCTAAGGGTTGTTTTACGAATGAAAGAAGGGCAGTAGTGGTGAGTAACGACGACAACAATAAACGAGACTAACATTGACAATGTCTTGCAAAATACCAGGATTGCGATACATTGTGAGTCTCATTTGATTCATTACCTATCTAATCAATATCGACATGGCTTGTAGTTACTGATTGCTATTGACTATTTTCAGATACTTATCACGTCAGCACTATGTCTAACATCATTACTATCGAATATGACGACGTATAATTTTACAAAAATCTGCATGACACCGGAAAATGGTTTCAACGCGTCCACAGACAACACAAGTGAGCATGGCACTTTTAAATTTCTGCTTAATCACTATGTTAACCACTTATCATTTGTATTCAATAATGATTCTTAGACCTACGAAGTTACTGAGGCGCCACCTATTACCCTATTTCTATTTCTTAGACTCACTAATCTCCGATAAGGCAGGTAGAACTTACATATTGCAGGCATTGACCTTTGACCTTTTGGTTCATTACCGATTTTGGACTAAAGGTTAAAATTTTATGATTTCCCAATTTTAACTTATTATTTTCTACTTACTCTTTTTTAATGGCAGGGTATATTGCGAAATATAACTTCAATGATGCTGAGATATTTGCAAAACTCTGGACCGTAGGTGTCTATGGTGGAGAACGAACGCGTTATTGTCCTTTCTGGGGAGTAGCGCACTTCACCACCACACCATCCGCGTCCTTCGTTTTGTCTGTCTCTCAGCTAGTTCTATCGATCTCTGCCACCAGGGATTACTCGTCAGTGGGATTGATTTGGGGAGCTCAAATCGGCAATGAACCCAGTTAAACTGAGGCTTTATTTATAATCACAATTTTAACCGTTATATTTACTGCCTACGGTTTCTAATGGAAGGGTATATTGTGAACCATAACTTCAGTGATGCTGAGATATTTGCAAAACTCCGGACCGCAGGTGTATGCGGTGGAGAACGAACGCGCTATTGTCCTTTCCGGGGAGTAAAGCGTTCACCACCACACCATGCGGGTTCTTCGTTTCACCTGTCTCTCAGCTGGTTCTATCGATCTTTGCCACAACAATCACCGCTAAGCGGAATTGATCTATGATTTCTGTTTTTGGAGAACAACTTTGGCAATTGAAGTGGAAGCCATTTAAAGTCAAGGTGCTTTTATCAGTGTGTTTATATCATAGACATTCTTTCTGTCTGTGAAAATTTGAATCTCCGGATTCCATGAGGTAGTCTTTTCAACTACCCAGCGCATTAGTGATTGTTTTCTTAGGAATGACTGAAATTGTCCAGATGTTTGAAGAAGTGCTAATCCGTCCTTCGGCGATAGGTTTGGTGAATAAAACGGACGTGGTAGAGAGTAAAGAGTTTTGCACTCTAACTAGATCCTTAAACTTCATCGTTTTCCGAAGCTTCGAAGCCTCCTGAACAGCCTGAAACTTGAAAAACATTCGAGCCCGAGTTTCTTCAGAAGATTCCCCTGTCATTGATTGGTCAATTGAAGTTGCAGACGTTGTTGCACTCTTCACTTTCGCATTAATAATGGCGGCGCCTTGGTTATTATGGCCGATTCATAGATTTTTACATCAAAGAACCGTGGAAAACTCACTATAACGAATTCATAATGAAAATTTGATTTCCGGAAGTGTGCTGAGGGAAACGGTCGTCAATAATCGTATGGAATTCATTTCTCTTCAAGGAATAAAAGATTCGGTTGTTTTGTTTAGTAAAAAAAAAAGCGCAAGGCGGAGTTTGTAACGACGTTTCCCTTACCGAAAACGGCTACAACACAAAATGGTATCGAAAGCCAACCAGTAAGGATATAGTGGTTCATTAGATCTCCTCTCATCCCTCACACACTAAAAAGGCGCTTATAAGAAATATGTTTCGAACCGCTTCCAGCGTAGGGTGGAGATCAGAGGGAAGAATCTTCGAAACTGGAGCGCCAAATAGCTATTTCAAATGGCTACGAAGCTGTAGATTCTTGGCATAGGCATAGAGGAAAACCCACACCCCAGCGCGATAATTCTAGCGAAAACAAGGCTCCGTTCCTCTTGCCCTTTATTTCAAACGAAATAGATGCAGCTATAAAACGTTGCTTAATAAGGGTAGGTTTAGAGATATCCGTAGGAGTGATAGAAATACCATCGGACACTCTAAGACGCCAGCTAGTTCGCAACCGCCTATATGGCCGTCTAGGTATAACGAAAAACTGTGTAATTTGCCCTAACGGTAGAGACGGTGACTGCATGAGTTCGGGTACAGTCTATCTGATCTCTTGTAAGGTGTGCGGGGACGAATACGTTGGCGAAACGGGTAGACCGCTCTGCGTCCGCAGAAAAGAACACCTAGTCGGTAAATCTAAATTAAAACAAAATATTCCACTAAGTGCGCATAGGATGCAAGAACACAACGGAGAAGATTTTGAGGTAGGAGTCACTATCCTTACGCAGGAATCGAAAACACCAGCGCGTAAAACTCTTGAAGCGTTTTGGATCAATGCCAAAAATTCAAAAATGAACCGCAAGGAGGAGTGTCTTGTCATCACACGTCACCTGGCGCCATACCTCAGGCTAATCCAATGACCTGACACAGACACAGTTATCGCCCATGTATTACTCTGTGCGGCTACTATCCATCAACGAACTTAAATACTTACAACAAATAAACGGTAAATGTTTAAATGAAGCTGTTTCTTATGCGAATACAAATTTATTTGCTAAGTTTTATCTGCTTAGGTTATGAAAGTGTTTGGCTGAGCAGATCGCATCCCAATTTGACCTCTCTAAACTCTAAAGAAAGCGAAACCACCGAAACATCAGCTATTGTATCCTAATAAATCCTATAATAACAACTCGTGTTTGCTTATTGACGAAAAACATCGGATTTTCGATCAACACCGAGGTTAACAGAAAGTCAGTCTTGGGATTCCCTTACCTTTTATGCAACACGTGCGGTGTCCCTTTGTTCCGAGTGCGCGTAGTGCAGTAGTTAGAGGAGCCCTAAAATGTACACACGATCTTTGGGTCTATTCCAAATCGAGAACTGACCAAGCACGTGATCTTCCTGTTGTCGACAATTTTGTGCCGGACCTATTTGCGAGGATAAAAACACTGAGTTGATACGTCAGGCACCCTAAGGCATCATACGCTCCAAAGATATGCAAGCACTCACCACTCGTGACACGTCCGTAAAGATAGATCATCACTGAGCGCCTTATCATTTATTGTTTAAATTTTCATAATTGAATATATGTGTTTAAATTCCACATAAATGTAGGTGTTTTCTAGAGAACTACAATAAAACTCAACAAAGTTGGCTCCAAGCATGTGTTGCTATCGGAGCGTTAGCCGTCTCACTACCGTATACCTACCTTTTCCAACACTACACTAAGAAGTGGGTGTTTCTGTCGGCCGGAATTATTTCAGCAGGTTTGCCCACATCTTATCTTTTTAGTATACATACATACAGCCATGTGTAATAAGCTGTTCGATTTCCTTCCGAAAGTTTAACTAACATTAAACCTATTCTATCACTGGACCCAATAGCCTGTTCAATGATGATGTTTTCTCGATAATAATTAAAATCAAAGGCTCCATATCATAATTTTCGGATCTATCATATCTCAAAGAGAAGCGTGTAGCTTACTGGTCGGAGGCGCCTTGCAATACACATAGGATCGACTCCCATGCCTCAGGTTCACCAAGCTCTCCACTTCCCCGGGGTTGGCAAATTGGTACCAGACTTGTCTGGGAGGATAGCAGCACTGGCTCGATACATCGACAGGCCACCGCAAGGCATTGTGAAGTCCTTTCACATTCAACGACCTCCAACGATGCTTAATAAAGTCGAATGCATGGCGTATCCCTTAGTGATTGATCAGCGTCGAGAGCTTTATCTCTTTTTATCTTATCCGACGATATGGTGTGGTCTATTGGATAGCTTTAGGCGAGCTAACAGTATCTCAATGTAGTCTCTTGTCGTACCCTGCTTTTGCGAGGAGCTGGCGTTGTGTTTGTGTACATGGACTTGCGGACACCATGTGTTTGCATTAGAAACCTAACGACGAATTTAAGAGAATCTTAACTCTAATTTCTTGATTTCATATTTTATACCCAGATTGTGCTCCACAGGTTTTCATTATATAACTAGTACATGTCAAGAAATAGGAACACCATCCTCACCGTAAACAGTAGGTACGAAAATCTATAGTGCGTACTCTACTGAAGCAATTCATCGACAGGTGATAGGATTGGAAATTTCGAAGAGTGTACTAAAATCTAAGTGCAAAACTAAGCAGTAAAATTAGAAGAACATGTGATCTGGGATCTTCATGATTCAGTTTCATTCCATTTATGAGAACGAATTTCTATGTCGTTGATTTGGTTAATACGATAGGGAGAGAAAGATAGAGCAAGTGCAAAAGAAAGAGAAGGAGAAACGAATAAGGAGGTTGGGAAGAAGAGGAAGGAAAAAATTCCTGGTTCATAACTATTTACGTCGACGAGGAGCTACTTAGTCGAATTGTGAATTCACAAGTTTTTTTTCCGGTGAGAAAATGGCCAGGCTGCCATGAACAATTAGTGGAGTGTTCTCAAACATGGCACAAATCAGAGAAGGGTAGAAGTATTGTTCGAACGTACGAATATCGCTAGAATTGAAGGGCGGTTTGCAAGGGATTCCGATAATCTTTAAACTGATTTTTTTCGGCATCCGATGGAGCGCTGATGATTCCTGAATCAAAGAAGAACAGAGGATACTCGCTAATTGTTGGACGTCTTCGGTAATTAGGTAAATTCAGGATTCTTCATGGATTCTGTACTAATTTCATCATGTGTTCTACTCCATGAGGTCATCACCATGCATCTAAAAGAATTCGGCACTACGGTATCTTCTACCTCTTCACAAATATCATAATATAATGTCGAAGCCACAATAGGTGTGATCGTCAACTATCTGCGTCGATCGATTTAAATTCTGGACGGCGATAATCGTTTAGCAAAATGATGCTGATAGGTTTATCAATTTACTTCTTTTGCTTCTGATGACACTTTCTTCACTTGAAGCAGAAGAAACGTTTTCGCTTGCCGGGCTTGGAATCTTAAAAGTGTTGAAAACTGGGAAAGGATTATGACTAATAACTTCCGGTCGTGGTTTAGCAGAAAACAAGAAGAGATGGAGTGGTACTGATAGAAAGCTCTATAATAGGAATCAAAAGACCAAGAAAGAAACGGTTATTAGAGTTCTTCACTTTTATGTTCATATCTCGCAAATGACATTTCTTCTATTTGCTTCAGGCAAGCAAATGCCTCAGGCAACTGCGAACTTCGTTAAAAAACGGCGCAAATGAAGACGAAAGGAAAACCACTTGCACGTATGCATTGCTTCTTCTTAGGCTTGTGAGGGACTTCCTTTATTACGGGAACTACTGTCAATGCCAATTGTCGATGTTCATTTGAAATATCGTGAAAAAATTTTCCTCCAGACGAAACTAGTTTAACACAAGTACGAACTCAAAAATAAACTGAGCTCACAGGCGGAATGGGCCGCGTTTAGCGTAGTGGTTAAGATTCCCGTGCTAAACGGTCTTGTCACCGAATGGCGCAACCGTCAGGGACCGACGTCGGACACTTTATCCTTTAAGCTTTAAGCGACGATCCAGATGGGCCTATTTACGATTCGTCTTCTTCGTTTTAATATTCAGCTATAACGAAAACGAAACAAAGTCGTTTTCTAGGGCCTGTAAGATCTCCACAAAGGTAGGCCACAACTTCTGTAACGTCGTTAGTGTGTGATATGAATAGCGCTTTCAACGGCCATTAGCATCATTGAAAGGATGCTGCGAACTAAAGTGAGAGAAAGGCTCTTTCTCTCAGAACGGAGAGTATTGCGTAAAAGTTGAATAATCGAGATCCGAAAACCATCATAAATTTGGATTTGTTTACCACCTTGGCCAGCTTTCATGTTGTTGTCAACATCGTCGTGCACTAATAACTTTCGTCGGTGCTTGTGAAGCTTTCCAGGGAAGCGATGAAATGGGATTGTAGGGAGGATAGCAGCAGTATTGGCTGAAGTCGTGCGGGTTGCAAGGAGCATAAACAAAGATCATCGGCATTTTGCCAATTGCAGGCGCCTGCATCGAACGACTACTCCATCCAAGAGGGCAGCTGCTGAAAAGGTCATCCATCACTTCTGCTCTCATCTCATTGACAGTGATATTTCTCATCCTTAGCCAATACCACCTAAAGGAAATTATTTAGTGTCAATCTTTGGAATGTCAGTGGAAGACTGGATTGGGATAACGTGAGAATGAAGGCCAATGGCTGCAAGCTAATTCACCTTCGCTTTTCTGATGACATCAATCATATAACACACGCCAGAAGGAATGAATGGTGGCAGATGTCAACGGCGCTGAGAGCGATTTCTTCCCTTATGATCCACACAGACATCTTTGAATATTTCACGGAGAGGGTATGCCTTCAAATGGAGTTCATAGCGTGCATGAAGGCTATAAATTGGTTGATGAGATTTCTTTACGAAGTATGTGGCCAAGAATATGTTGCTTTACGTGTCGCACGGGAACAAATTGTTGAACAATTTGGACAAATGACAGAGACTAATTGAGAGTTTCCTTACTTGCTTCCATTCGGACCGCCCTACGATCAAAGGAGGGATAACTGTTACAAGTGACCGTAATGGTTACTGTTACAACTGGTAGAGCATTACTGTTGTTATTTGCAGTGGTAATATTGTTGTTTTCACTACTGTATATTAAGAATAGAGGAAGCGAATGCTCAAAAATCTGGTGGTAAAGGATGCCACACTAGTGGATATGATTACTACTTTATATAAAGTAATCGAACATTAATAGACTGAAGAGTTCTTCAACTTTTCATCCCTTTCTTTTTCAATGCTTTCTATAGATTCTACTGACGTTGACAATTTTAGTGTCCACAGCTTTGGTGCCTTTAGCTCATGAATACGGCTTTATGTACTTTCTGATCGCACGGACATTTCAGGTCAGTATCGATTGAGTTTGGTTTTTGTCACATCAGATGAAAACAACAATGACAATAATGTACCGTTCCCAGAAGTATCCTTGTTGAGATGGAATGTCTGAATTTCTCAACCATTATTCCATTGGGCACCAAAAGAAGAAAAAAGGTTTAGGAAAGTAGTTGTGCAGCAATTGCGCAATAAAGTATGCTCATGTTTTGTTCGTGCTGAGCAAGTTAGCAGCACCAGTGAGTTCCTAGCATTAGAGCTTTTCATATCGGCATTTGTTTGTTACCTTTCCAATTCCTACTTCATTTTTTTTCTTGGACTTATTAACTGGACTCCTATGATGTAAAACCCTCATATTAAATTACGATCGTATGACCTGTCCTTAGGATTGTTGGCGATTTAACTGCAACAGTGCAAAGTATGGCTATTGATCGCTCGCACTTATTAATTGATAGAAATATTTTATGAATGCGTCGTTTTCTTGTTCAGCAATCCGCGAGATTGTTGAAAAGCTTACATTTACTTCCATAGAAAAACACGATACAATACAACAGTAGCTGACGTCTTGGCAGTATCGCCTTCTTGACAACCTGGAAGGGCATACTGGTATACAATTTACTAGGCCAAGCGCTTCAATAGCACTTACAAAAGACAAAAACTCTACGGCAATAACATCTTCAACAGCTTCTCGAAAAACTCGCCGCTTTTTTCGTGACTTCCAATGAGGAAGATCAGAAGAGCTGGTTATAGTCACATATGGTTTATGACTGCACCATCCCACATCATGGATGGACATACGGACAATCGCCTTAGATCAGTCCTGCTCTGAAGAAGGTGATACTGCCGAAACGTCAGCTATTGTTGTATTGTACTGTTTTTCTGTGGAAGTAAATGTATGCTGTTTAACAACCTCGTGATTGCTGAACAATAAAACGACGCATTCATATTCCAATGCCATGGTTAATAGAAAGTAAATTCTGGGAGCAATATTTTGTTTTCAGATGCTATTTTGTCGTATGCGTTTTAATTCTACGAATGATTAAGTGTAATTTCTGCGTACAATTTCCAAAGTATGCCTTTGTTATCAGGGTGTCGCTTTCTCGGCAACATTTCCGATCATTGGTGCTGTGACAGCCGATTGGGCTGTACTCACTGAACATGGGCTCTTCGTTGGACTTCTTACCGGGTGCACACAACTTAGTAATATGTTCACGATGCCGGTGTCAGGTTTGTTCATGAAATATCAGCTATTTGACATCATCGCCGTCGGTCCAGCAGTACCCACTAATGCTCAACAATGTGGTCGCTTAGGACTACTTGCCAATCGCGATGTGCATTGAAAATGATGCATACGGTCCACTTTGACCACAAAAGTCACTTGTTGTAAAGCGTCTTTCTTTGGTTGACAATGGCTGGAAAAATTCAGCAGCAATGAAAGTCTCCGTTCAGGTGCTCTGTGTTCAACGTCTTGGGGTTGGCAATCGGTCTACTATGTTCATGCTGCTTTATCAGTGTTTGCATTCTGTTGTTGGGTACTTATCTACAAAGATCGCCCCGATGAACACGTATTGGTCAGCGCTGAAGAGTTAAGTCGTCTTCAGCAAGGAAAATTGTCAAAGGTCAGTTAATGGTTAGTATTTGTTTTTTACCTACCTTATATGAGCCGACATCAAATATTCTGCAAATCACAGCACTTCTCTGTTTCAACTAGTTTATTCGCATCTACATCATCCACGAAAGTTTGTGGATTTGCATCTGGGTTTGCTGTTGCTTTAGGACTTCTGCTCTTCTTTATGAATGTTGTTGAATGTTGTTAGAGTCGGTTCTCCTCGAAATCCTGGAGTAGGCTTTTTATGGAGCCTTCCAATGTCTTTACTACATGTAGTCGCCAGTCTTTGTGAATTCGCAGAAATTCTCCTTAGAGAAGTCTATTGCCAATTTCCCTGCTCTGAAGGGATGGGAGGCTTGACTACACCGTGGTGTAGTTAAACAAGAGCCTTGCACGTGTTAGTGAACACCATCTTCATCACTGCTCCACCCGAGGCCCTATGAATTAGCAATGAAGGTGAGAAATCGCCACGAACCTGAACGATAATGACATTATAAACAAAGTAACAAGTAAGAATATCTCGTTGTTATGTTTATAGTAATGAGAATAGCGTTAGGTTAAACGACTTCGTATTGCTAAAGGATATTTTATGACTCATGAAAAATATTTTTCGTTTTATTAATTTCATTTTTGACCCACTCTTCTGTGCAATTATTTTTACACGACCCATCTTTCACGTTTACTGGGCGGACCCCAGCACTTCTCACTTTCGATTCGTTTCCTCGCATCCAACATCAAAGAAGCTCTCTCAACTTCTAACATATGGCTTCAGCAGCTTCTTAAGGATTTTCATTTCACCTTGAACGTCGTAGAGTGCTGGTCGAGTCGATTCTCCCTGGAGCCCTGAGATAGTCAGGCTGGAGCATTCCCACTTAGATTGCAGTAAGTGATTTTTCTCCCGAAGAACTCCGGTACCAATTTTTCGACCTCGAAGGAATGATAGGCTTGGTGGCCCTGTAGTGGGGTCGAAACCACCGTCCTCGTGATGATCTGCGACACAACCACTGTGCTATTGGCTCCCTTATTTGTAATTGATCGATAAATTGGAGGAAAACTAGCATGACAGACAGTTCTTAGTATTGAGTGCTAGTACGCTTGGTGACTATGTTTTACCACAACATTCATTTGTCACTGGTGATGGCACCTGTCCTCATAGCTAATCAGTAAAAATCGCTAATCCCTTATGAGTTCGCCGTCTCTATACCACCATATTTTTGAATGCTTTTAGAAAGACTACGCTAACAATGATATACCGTTTCGTGCCATATTATCATCGAAAACACTATGGGGTGTCTGGATTGCGGCTTTCGCGGATTTGTTGGCTGTTCAGGTGGGTTTCTTTCCATAGAGATAAATTTTTTAATGATTTCATAGCATAAATAAGCTGATTCGAATATTTCAGTTGGTCGCTATGTTCAATCCTCAGTATTTGAACGATTATCTACACTACAATGTGCTCAAGACTGATAAGTTCATCTACTTTTCGTTATTGATTGATGTGTTACCGTAGCATTTACGCTGTATCGTTTGTTTTTGCATGTTTCCTAGGCGCTCTACCTGTTGCCGTACAATTTTTGCTGAAACTAGTTGGTGGTGTTTCAAGCGACATGTTGACGTCAGTAGAAAAGAGCAGGACTTTTTTCAGCCATACGAGTTTAGATTCATAAGGATTTTTTTTGTCCCAGAGCTAAGTCCCCACATATTAAGGTGTTTCGACGAAACATGCAAACTTCGCGTTTACAACTCACTGGCCTTGGGAGCTTCAGCGATATTCTTCGCAATTTTAGCGTTCATTCCGCGTGAAAATCGTGTCATAGCTATCGTTGTGCTCGTAAGTTTGTACAGTATACTGTATGCTGTGTAATTACAGACTATCATGCTACAGGAGTCGAAACGATTATAGGTATTCGCTGAAAGTCTGCTTGGCTTAAACACTGCTGGTTTTAACAAATGTGCTACACTGCATTCGCGTCAATACGGACATTTTGTTATGACACAGGTTGGATCAAATTTTCGATGCATATAACTACGTAACTGCTGAAAAGTTAGCAATAAAAAAGATAATCACATAACTCGTATGAAGCGCTGAGATATTTGCAAAACTCCGGACCACAGGTGTATGCAGTGGGGAACGAACACGCGCTGTTGTCCTTACCGGGGAGCAGCGCACTTCACCACTACACCATCCGGGTCTCTGCACCATCTGGAGATATCTGCAAAAGTCCGGAAAAAGAGATATCTGCAAAAGTCCGGAAAAAAGAGACCCGGACGGTGTAGTGGTGAAGTGCGCTGCTCCCCGGTAAGGACAACAGCGCGTGTTCGTTCCCCACTGCATACACCTGTGGTCCGGAGTTTTGCAAATATCTCAGCACTTCATACGAGTTATATTTCACAACATACCCTGCCATTAAGAAGAAAAAGGCAGTAAATAAAAGAGTTAAGATAATCACATAATTACTGTTTTTCCTGATGAATGGAAATATTGCATGCAAGAGTTTTAGCACTTATTTCCTTGTTCAGATAACGAGCTTACATTGTGAAATCTTGAGATAATCACTCATGCAAATTAATATCAAAACCTGTGCTCTCTACATAAAGGGATAAAGGGTAAAGTTCTCGGCGTTGATCAATCCATGAGGGATGCACCATGCATTCGACTTCATTAATCATCGTCGGAGATGACTGAATGCATATCTAGCCTTTACTATGACTCGCGGTGGCCTACCAAAGTATAGAGGAAGTAGTGCTATCCTCTCACACAAGTCTGCTACCAATTTGCCAACCTCCAGAAGAAGGGAAGGCTTGGTGATCATGGGTGCGGGGATCGATTCCATGTGTGTGTCGCAGTGGCGTCTCTAACCACTGCGCCACACGCGCCCTCTCTACATACTGTCTTCATACAGTGTGTCTCAGTAGATCACCCTGGAAGTACGATCGTACGACCAAAATCATGCTTTAAGATTTCTAGCAATTTTTAAATTACAACCAAACGAAGGAGATGATGAGAAAAACCTCTACTGATTTTAGATAATGAATCTTTGGGCGTTGACGATACTCCTGGAACCGTTTGTAGTACATGCAATTGTTGCTCAAAATGAGTAAGCGAATTTTATAATTCAGTTTTCATTAATCGAACGAAAAAAATTTTCGAATAGGGCTATAAATATCAAACATCGCTGAACTGAGTTATAAAAAGCACCAATAAAGTATTCTTGATTTACCAGAGTTATAAATGCTCTGTGTTTATCATCGGTCGTATCCAGATAACGTTCCTGGTAAGATTTAGTTAAGTCCTTTTTAAAATATCCCTCCTTGGCTTTTATACAGACGCTAAGATTTTTCGTTCTTTCTTATTAATCCATAGTAATCTTGATGAACTAACATTAGAATGAGATGCGGGTTCGAATGCTTGGCAGCCTATTAAGATTCTACTGCTCCAATAACTGAGTTACTTGGGTGGCAACTCCATTCAGTGTTCTAGGTAAGAAACACGTTTATGCGAAGTGTAATTGGTTTGACTTACGCTGGATGGTTCTTCTATATCAAAATTTTCATCTGTGACCAAATTAGCCATTTAGTGACTAAATTTGCACTTCCTAACTCTTTCCATTCGTCCATATGAACACAGCAGAGTAGCTTCGTTGAATTCCGTTCATTTGAATGACAAGAAGACCTGCACATTCTTCTTATGAGCACTTGTTTTTCTGCTGTTTTCAGCGAAATGAACTCCACTATATGGCCACAGTGTACCCACAGGTTGGGATATTGGGATCTCCTGGAGTAGCCATAGGTCTTCTTTGTTAGACGTGATCACCAATCGTCTCCTATATTAAGCCTCCCACTGGCTGGTTTGTAGTTGGTTGAGTGCAATCTACATGTGCATAAAAGCACGTATGTATCTATGTTGGAGTATAACATATGTGATGAAAGCATAAGTTCATCCGAAGCAGATGAGACAAAGAGTTCAACGGGATCAGCCGAAGCACCATGATAAGTACATACGCAATGAATTTTGATTCACGTTCAATGTCCAATCCACCATCTGGGAACACGCTACTGACCCTAGCCATAAGGCAGGACGAGATCACTCGCATAAGAGAGATATGTGGGTGAAATAATTCTATAATATCTATAACCTCAGCTAAGTATTTGGGGATCTTATCTTCTTCAGGTTCTGGAAGATTAATAACGGTCAGCAGCCCAATTCTTCGAATATGATAAGACGTCAACAATCGTGGAAAATAACCGCAGTATCATGAATTCACTTCCTACTTCATTCTTCCTCAACATAATTACAGCTTATTTGTTATATTTGTGTTACATCAATACAAGATCCATTCCATTTTCAGCTACCCAAGTTGGCGTAACTGCTTCCTGTGTCACTCAATCGCTTTGCTCATCTGCAACGCAATATTTTGCATATGGGCAGATGCAAAACCAGCACCGTGGACTAATGTGGATCATCGCGGAGAACGTTCAAAGGCTCAGCTGCTTAAGGATGGAGCCGAAGAAGCCGCTCCTTCTAGAGATTAACTAATTCTATTCTCGTATAGTTTACATGTAGTTCATTTAAATCTTTCTTTTTCATGTCGGAATCATTACTAGTTGAGTTCAATTTTGTTGATATACAGTGTCCTTATGATGACCATCTCTTCTGCATGTGAATGGTCGGAACCACTTCCACAATCGTTTGTATTCCTTTTCTGGCAATCTGATACGAATCCGATGAATCTCATACGAAAAGATGGCGTGTTCTGAACTCTCATCAGTTCCTCATCGCTCATCTCATTACTTTATGGAAGTGCATGCAGTGAAGATTTTACTTATGAATAGAATTCAGTTGTAAATGTCTCATTAGTTTAATGAAGAACTTTCATTTACTTCCAGTGCAATCCTTTGTATGCGGGAAAAGCTAGAGGAGGAAATGATCATACATTGGTTATGTCACTGTATGAGAATTAGTGCTGTAAAAACGAACATATTAGTACAATTCAATTGATGCGTTGACGAATGACGATTGTGAAAACAACGAATACAGCCATCCCCAATGTCTTAACATTTATTTGCTGCCTATTCGCTTTTCATGGCAAGGTACGACGTGAAACACAACATTCCTGTTGACTAGTCGCAGCAATACGAGTTAAAACATGGTCGAAAGAAAGACAAAGGGTCACGATTGATGTGTTAGATAGCACGTGAATCCCTGATTAGAGTAATCGTGGGTTCGAAGCCCAGCTGTTCCAGTTTTCCTCACACATCAGCACCTCTGTGGTTTGTACTTTACATATACAACCATTCCCAGTTCGCTACAAAACCGTCTTTAACTATTGCGTCCTACATGGTTTTCACTTCAAAAAGCCTTTAATGTTACCACGTTCTAAACCAAAATTTTATCATAGACATATCTATAACAGAAATCATCTTCACTTATAAAGTGCAGAAGTCATAGATGAAATTCTAAATTTGACTTACACGAACGTATGATACAATACTGTAAGTGTTTTTATGAACGAATGCTGAAGTTAACAGAGAGTCCTGGGAACTCTCATCATATATTTCAAAAACCGAGCGATGGTGCCGAAAATTTGGCCCGGAATAAAATTTCCTATGAAGCTCGTGTCACCTCGGCAATGAAGGAATACATCTTCATCAGATAGTCTATTCCTATACATGCAGCAAAAAGAAAAATAAATGATAAAACTAAACGAAGGACTCGCATGATGTGATGGTGAACTCGTTACTCCTCGGAAAGGACAATAGTGTGTTCGTTCCTCACCGCATACACCTGCGGTCCGGAGTTTTGCAAATATCTCAGTATCATTGAAGTTAAATGATAAAGCGTTCGGCGTTGACCAAACCCCGAGATGTGCTATGCATTCGACTCCATTCATAACATCGTGGAGGTGAATGAATGCAATATCTAGCCTATACAACGACTCGCGATGGCCTACCGATGTATCGAGTCAATGCCGCTGCCCTCCCAGACTGGTCTGCTAACAATTTGCCGACTCTGGAGAGATGAAAGGCTTGATGATCCCTGATTATGCGGGATCGAACCAGCCACAGACCTTCCGTGTATTGCGACAAAGCTCTAACCACCGCTCTAGGCGCGTCCCAAATAACAAATTGAGGAAACGAAATATTGTATTCTAGTCTTCTAAGTTAATGTTTACATGTTGCACTACGCTTTAAGACTCACAAAACAACAGAAGGAAAATGGCTTCACCGTGCAGGTGAAAGACCTCTGTAAACGAGAAAAAAAACGTGCGAGTCACATTTAATAACCACAACGCTGCAAAGCATGGCATAGAGCGTAACAATGTTTCAAAAACCGACTTTCCCTCAATCTAGTATGACTAAGCAACGTGTATTCTTTCTTTTATAGATAAACTACTGAGGTTGATAAAAGAAACTATATTCGACTAACGTTTCGGCGCCTTCACCTTCTTCAGAACAGGATTGATCTAAGGTGATTGTCCATAATTGTCCGTTCCTCCGGTGTGGGTCTTCGTTATCACATTGAATCGAATCTAGTGAAGCAACGATCGAAAGAACACATACTGACTAGTTATACCGATCTTAAAGGAAAGTCGGTTTTTGAAACAATGTTACGCTCTGTGCTAGCTAATAATGATATCGACTGCTGCACGATGGATTGTCTAGTGAAAAAACAAACGATTATCAACGGAAAATCAGTATCAACAACCATACTGTATAAAAGAACACTGCCAAGTGAAGTTATTCATTCAAGGGAAGCTCCGTTAGACTCGACTCTATGCGATCATGAAGACCCACATCGTAAAAAGGAACAGCTGTGGACGATCGACTCGGAGCTATCCGGTTCTGAAGGCGAAAGCGCCGAAATGTTAGGCAAATGAAATTTTTTTAACAACCTCGTGCTACCTTATCAGTGAAAGGATGCATGGGATCGAATTTAACATGTATTGAATGACCGTAGATTCGCTTTCAGCGCACAGTATAATGAAACATAATGGACGTCGCTTAAAACCACTATACTTTTGCGTTCTTATTATTTATTTTGAGCAGTAGAAAGTGCTTAAACGAAATGATGTCCTCAGCTGCTTGTCACTTTCTTCCGTCAAAAGACATAATTTTATTTTCTCATTTCATTCCTAAATCCTCTCAATCCACATCAAACTGATGCGTACTCTAATCATCTAGTGTATTTTCATGTTCACAAGGTAAAATAACAATTGTACGCAATGAGAAAAGATAAAGAAATAAGAGATCATTCATCTTCTTCCTCATCATTTCCAAATGATAGCAGTCGAGTTTCTGGTTGTTTCACCTCATCTTTCTTTCTCTTCTCTTCCACTTCGTCACTTTCATCCACCTGTGTGGTTCTCTTTGTTGGCTTTTTAAAAGTGATTTTCCCCTCTGCGATTTTTCTAGCTGAAATATTCTACAAGTGATAAAAATAAGAATTTAGGCAAGAGAGTCTCCTTTTAAACCCTCCAAACAAGCATCTCCAGCTTTCTCTAATCGTTTGGAGCTTACCACACAAATGAAATATTTGAATTTGCAAGTACCCCTAGGTGATTGTTTAAAAAACTGTTAAGGAAAAAATGAAACAAAAATCTTTTAAAATGAGGAATTGGTGAGCAGTTTCTGTAAACTCACCATCTTCTTCCTTTCTTTTGATTTCCAGTTCCTTGTTCATGTCTTCACGTGATAAATCAATCTCTGGATCCAACACAACGACCTTCAAGTAAATCATAGCTTATTCATAGTTTGAAAAAAACATGCATGCGTTGCTTTTCCTTTTTTTCCAAAGACCAGAGGTTTTCTCGATTCTCATCATTCCGACGACGTAAATACAACAAAGTACATATTACAGCACTGCTGTAAATTGGTGGCTAGTCTTGTCTAATTCCTAAATTCAATCGACTGCGATAGCAATGACAAGATGGCTATAGCAGAATTTCTCAACGTAGACTGAAGTCACTCTAAGCGTATGCTCACCATGAACGACGTAGTGCCAGAACACCTGTAGATTATCTAAGGAGGGGCTTCTAAGGGCTTCTGCAGCAGCCAAAGTACTGATACCGAGATGATAACGCTCAACAAGCTTAGTCTTCCATTGCAATTCATTGTGCTTGTGCTTTCCTCTCCTGACTTTTTGGTACAGGATCGATTTCCACGAGAAAAAAAAATCAAATATTTTTGTTGGACAAGCTTATCAATGAAAGGGTACACATCACATCGATTAGTCATGCTAAGATTAAAAGAAACTCGTTTTTGAAATATTGATTTGTTATGTGCTAGCTAATACAACATCGACTACTGAAAAACAAATTACTATCAACAGTATCAACAATAGCGATCAATATCATCAACAACCGTCCTATAGAAAACAGCATTCCCGGATGGGGTTGCTTTATTCAACCAGCGATCTACTGAGGAAGATTCGACTTGATACGATAGCAAAGACACCACATTGAGAGGACAAACGACTATGGAACATCGACTCGGATCGTCGGCTCTGAGGAAGACGAAGACGACGATACGATACCCGAATTTTTATGAACCTCGTGCTAACTTAACAGTGAAAGGATATATGCTGACTAGTCAGGGCGAAGCTAAAGGAAAGTCAGTTTTCGAAATATCACTGGAGAATTAGTTAATCAGGAACCATCCTGTTTAAAAGGATACTGTCTAGTAAGGTTACTTCCTCGAGCGGTGCTTCACTTCACTTGATTCGACTCGACGTGACTGTGAAGAGCCACATCGTAAGAATGAATGACTGCGGACAATCGACTCGAATGAACGCGGTTCTGGAGAAATCGAAGACGTCGAAACGTTTGCCACAACAATGTTTTTATGACAACCTCGCGTAAACTGAATAACTCAAGAAAATATTGATCAATCAGATGATTTGCGACACGCCAAAGGAATGCTAACTAATATTAATCGTCTAGTACTTCGGCTAAGGTGGAACCGTTTACCTACTCTTCAAAAATCGTAGCCATGACGGGGTTCTTTTCCACTGTTGCAACGGAATAGGAGAAATTGGTCGAAGGTAGAATTTCCTAGGTTTTGGTTTTACCTGGTAAAGTACGCGTCGGAATATCAGTAATGTTGGAGGAAAAACTCCGTTAGTCATATTTAGAACAACTGATTTCTCTTCAAAGCAAAATTCACTGCAAGGCATATAAGTGGGTTTTGAAAAGAAAATTATTTAAAAACATGCCTGAGGCCGATCTTCTTCTTTCATACGTAATAGCTCTGCTTCAGGATCATCAATATCTGCTGGACCAGGCTCTTCGAACTGAATCAGGAATGTATCAATAAACTTTTGGCATGGAATTTATTGAGAGGGAGAGAAGGTTCCTTTCGTGACCAGTGAACCGGAAGGATGCATTACCTTATCCTCCAACTTCGGTGGCTCCTTAAATCCCATCTTCTTCTTCATTTCTTTAATAAATGGTGGATCATCTTGTTCAATAAATGATATACCGGCCTTCTGCTTATATGTCAATGGTTTTTGTGCCATCTAAAAGTGGATTTCAATGAATGAACGAAGACAGAAGGATATGAGAAATAGCGCGAAATCATAATATGTGTACGAAATCATAACTACTTAGCGATGTTTCCCATGTGACAGTCAATGGTTGTCTTTCGGAGACGATAACAAGACTTGGTGCGATAAAAAAAACGGAACATACGATGGTGAAAATGACTGCTTCAAATAAGATGCCGAAATGTCATTTATTAAAGTCGGCGACATCACTCATAGCCCAAAAAACTACAGTTTAGCCTTTGAGTTCAAATGTGAGAACAATTTCGCGATGTGTGTAGCATAGTTGAAGATATCCCGATTATCTGTACTATTTGATTTTATTTCCTTCATTATACAGTCCGCCTACAAATCTATTATGCGGTTCCCAGCACTCCTTCCATCCAATTCGTTTCTTCCTCCACCCATCATATACAATAATCTTTGAATTTCTTGCCTGTAGCTTCGGATGCTGCTGAACGATTGTTTTTTTTTTCATAAAAGTCGTTGAGTGCTGAGCGAGTCAACTCTCCATGAGCTTTGGGATAGTTGGATTAGGTGTTCCCAATTGATTTGCAAGGAGTGAATTGTTCTCAGACAAGTCTAGTAGTCATTTCGGGACCCCGCAGGAATGAGGGGCTCGGTAATCCTATGGCGTGATCGAACCAGTATAGTCCTCCTCATGAACGGCACCACTACCGACACACTACACGCAGTATTTAATGATGATAATAACAGTGATAACGGTGCTAATGATGGCAATCAGATCAATAATATGTTCTAGACGACTTCTTTTCACATTAACGAATCCCAGCACTTCCTGCATTCGATTCAGTTTGTTGTTACTGTCATCCAAAAATTGGTTAGCTTCGGGTGTGAATTCCATTGTCATCTGAGGATCTATAGTCCTCTTTATTGATGTTCTCAGTGTTGGTTGAGTGTGAGTGACTTTCTCTGGAAATCATGCTAGGGTGTTTTCATGTAGAAATTTAGTCACTCAGATGCCGAAAACACCACTGATTTTCAGAATTTCAGACAAATCAAATTTTGCTGTATAAGAGCTTTCCTTGCACGAACGTCGAAGTTATACGAATACATCTCAGCGTTCACTGAAAGGAAATCCGTCATTTTACCCAGTCACCATGATGCACCTCGGTCAGTTACCCAGCGGTAACTTAGCACCAAAAGCAGTAAAGATAAAGGACCTCTTATGAAAAATGTGATACTGTAAGTTTGCCTCCAACGAAAGGATAGGGCTGCACAGCAACGACAATCGCAACGGGGACGAATGAAGCGCCGAGGTATAGTCAAGTCACACTATGGTTAACAGAATTACAGGTGATTATTGGGGTGATATACAGTCTTTTATTTATTTTTCTTTACTTTAAATGAACCGACAAAACTAATTACGCGGATCCTTGCAATTCTTTCATTCGATTCGTCTTCCTCACGTCTTCCGTCTTCCTTCCTTCCCCTTCCTCCCTTAAAATTAGTGGGTGGTTTACGTCACTGCTTGAGGACTTTTTTGTCACCTCTATGTTACTGAATGTCCTCTCTGTAATTAATTCCTCCTGTCTTTCCTGTCGATTCTCTCTGTAATTCTGGCATAAACGTGCTAGGACACTCCTACTTCTTGAGCATTTAAGGGATACACCTAGATAAGTTCGGTACTAATCCTGCGGAATGAAGGCTTCGTTGATCTAGGGAGGTGTCGGACCAAGGTCTTGTGCGTATATACAGGCTTCTTCCGCAGTAAAAATGATGATGTACCTTTTCTCAGTAGAAATATGCAACTCACAAAGTCTTATACTACACAAAAAAGGTTGCTGCTACATATAAACACAGACTTCTACGTCAATGACTCACTATGGAAGCTAATTTTTTATCAAAACTTCACAAATTCCACGCTTTCTTAGTGGAGTTCATAACTCCGACCTTCAAAGTGAAACAGAATCCAAAGTTGAATTCGACCTCTATAGATAAAAACTGCAAAACGAAATGAGTGAGAAGAGAACTGATGGAACAAGACAGGCATCTTCAGACGGAAGCTATATAAAGAAACTGGACAATGATGAACTGGCACTTGAAAAAGATTTTCCGAATCGAGTGAGATCCGTACCTAAGTCTGGATATACGATTCTTCTGCTTCCTAATCAATCTTATTTTCATTGTTCTGATATTTAATCGAATCTTTTTGTCCATAAATACCTTGGCTAAAGTTCGAATAACTTAAACCATACCATATAAGAGATATAATAAAAAAAAAAAACGAAACCGAAGAACTCAGGGATTTATCAAAGCATGAAAAAAGAACCTTTAAGAATTACTAGGAGAGTCGTAAATTTATTTATAGCACCCGACTATGACTACCTGTAAAAGAGACCAAAATCTTTAGAGACACATCGTTCTAAGTTACAAACAGCGCTCTCAACATAACGTTAAGTAGTGGTAAGCATCGCAACGCCTTCGTTAAATCATCGAAGTAGTACGAAGTAGATCTACTTTTTTATTTCCGTTCTTTATTATTATCGATCGTTTCTCCACCTATTACATTGCCAATAACCTTATAATATTAAAAAATAAGCAGTAAATTACAATTTTTGTCCAGTACACTAAATCCCAATAACAATAATGTAGCCCTGTGTGCATCATTGTATAGAAACGATAACATTTACAATCTTTACGGTCGAACCAATAGATCGTCGTTATCTTATGGGTGGAGTTTGTGGCTTACTTAGTAACACACTTTTAACATTTACAACTTTTTAACCTACAATATGCCAATTACGTTTACTTTGCACCACTAAAACATCGAACTGAGTCAATGCTATAACACCAAATGTGATTCTTGTCGCAGTTAACGTGACAGTTACAATCACTTGGACACTTGGATAGCTCGTCTTCACTGGTTGTGCAGGTCACAGCATAATTTCTATAGTTTCGCAGCTTTCCTGGAGTCCGAGATTAGCCTCGCCAAAGCCTGTCCCAGGTCGTCAACACCACAGGCAACCACCGCCTTTGTGGACCAGAGGGATATTTGCCACCATGCGACTAGTTTGATGCCAGGATGGGGACTGATCCGGATATTGGTATAATCCCAGCCGAGCTTCCTGATGGAAACTTCGGACTCCTATTAAGCTTGGACGACCCTGCGGGCGGATGAACACCCCGCTGTACATCGCAGCCCGACACCCAGGAACACCTCTCTTCCACGATGAGGCAGTAAACCGTTAAGACGTACACTAGGATAATTACAATTAACTTGTAGCAATTCTTATAAGGCAAAACTTCTTGAAAGAAAACACCTTAAGATCTAATACTTAGGTCTTTTCTCGTGAGCAGTAAGGTCACCTTTTAGAAATCATATGTCCTGCATGATTTCACTGATAAGTTGACATTTCGATACGGAAACACAAGTAGATGTAAATCAATGACAGAAATTGTCTCCATTCTGAACTGAACCCAGTCACAAATTGCCAAACCAGCCTCTTAATCCACAATGTCCAGCAAGTGTGTCAGTGCTAACGACCAGGAACGGTCTGGCACAGTTTTCTTGGCATTTCAGGAAAAAAAGATTCGCCAAACTAGCAATAAACCAATATAGCTAAAATGGTCTCAGCTATTCTTCATGACGACGGCATGTCACTGTTTGTTCCAAGTATCAACATTCTTAAGTATTTAGGCAAAATCTATCCTGATAATGAGTGATTAGGTAATCACTACGTAGTCGAGTAGTAAATTTTATTTCTACTTACCAGTTATCAAGGAATTAATTGGAGAAATAAAGAAAAGAACAAGGGAACACAAAATGTGAAGTTATGGCACGTCTAAGTACTCAAAGAACAACTATACACCTTACAAATCATGATTTGTGGAAACTTCAACAGGATCCAAAGCAATCGTTTGTACCGGTGAACATTAAGCTATAACGATTAACGAAGGTTATATCATCTCTGATTTCCCAAGTTCTTCAAAAGTAGAACTCTCATCTTTCCTGCAACTTGCATCACCACCTAGCCATGTTCAAAAGATTCTATTCTAAAGTTGTGAATTTTCACCCGGGTATAAAGTTACCTGAGAATGGAAGAGCTCATTTCTATGGGATTGCTCAGTGCAGCTTGCTCTGCTCACTACTACATCATGCGAATCTCATTGCAACATCACATAAACAACATCCCTCGACTTCCTGACCACCTGCTTCCCTCGGCCACCTATTCTATATTTCATATTATCGACCGAGTGGAGGACAAATAATCGGCGGCGAAGAACGTCGTTGTGTATGGATGGGGCAGAGACACGGCCGCCGAACAAAGTCATCCGGGGAACGAGACGGGGCGCCGGACGGGCCAAGCTGGGCCAGGCGGCCGCTCCTGTCTTGCTCCCTCCTCACTCCTCCTTCAGTCATATCGCGACTTCTGCGCATACACACGTTGTTCGTCGACTCGTCATAAAATCGAAGCATCACTCCCTTCACAAAGCAACAATCCGAAACATATGAAAAATCGCAAATAAATAGAGAGAAGGAGGGACAGAATGGGTATAGTCGAGAACGCCGAACACTTACCAGTAAGAGAAGTGAATGCGAAGAATGTGAACGAATGCAACGAAAACTCCGTTGAAAAATCACATCACATGCTGATGTTTCGTAACGAACGAGAACAGGACAAAGCATACTATCACATGTTGTAATCGTTTTCGTTGTATTACTTCATGAAATGACACAAATAACTTCCGTAACATTACCAGCAGTAATCGAAGACTTTGGAAGAATATAATGTACTGTAAAATACTACAGTAAAGCGACTTATTTCACCAATGCTGATGCTAACATAAAGTCGGTCCTGGAGGTTATCATGTACTGCTTCGAGAAATCCCATCACTTGCCGTTTTTTCTTAACGAACCAGAACAAAGTACGTAGCAGATCATGACAAGCCGGGTTCATTTTCGTTACAGGACCTCCCGAAATGTTACGAACTACTTCTACGAACGGAAATTA